ATATATATATATATAGAAGATGCTAGGGTAAGCCCACTAGCTCACATAATAGTATAAGCTCAATGGTTCAGATTGGATTTGGGTCGATTTGACGGTCGAGAGTGTTTGAATTTTAATTTTTTATTTACAAATCCAAATCACTTGAAATTTTAGGCGAATAGTTTTCTCATCAAGCCGCATTAAACAAATGGCTATAAGATGGTTTTTTAAAGTTATTACATCATATTACTATACAACGGATGCATGAAATCATTGGGATATATATATATACTCCAAGGCTATAACCAATGTCCCTTCTGATCGATGGTTTGGGGATTAACTTAAGCGAAGTGAACGTCCATGCAAGCCCCAATCGAATTGGTATCCAACTATACATCAAAAGAAGGAATGCTGAATGTAGCAAAGGAGTACCACACACTTAGGTCCAAACCGAACTATGTCATATATTCCCAAAAGTCACAATTCCACAAGACGTATATAAGCTGCCAGCCTGATCTCAGAGGGTCCTCCAACTGGCCTTCAAGGCCAAACATACGAGCGAGCTCACTGCGCATATGCACCCACAGCATGTCGACAATTGAAGGGTGTACAAGCACCTTCAATGAGTCAGATTGAAACTATCATCATCCAAGGGCTAATAAATTTCTTATTTTTATTTTATTTAAAAATTAAATTTATATGAAAATTGGGATACAAATTAATTTAATAAGGAGAACAAAATAAAAATAATAAAAACTATTTTCCACAAAAAATATTGACCAAGATACATTATTGAGATATTTTGATCAATTTTTATTAACAATATTTTATTATTAATTTCATTTGGTTCGTCTTATAAAAATTATTTTACAACCTACATTCTAGGGATATATAATATTTAAATAAAATATATATACAAAAAAAATTAGATTTTGGCCATTGGCTAGGGATTTATTTAATTTCACCAAGGGTGTTTATGACCATTCTAAGTTTCTAACCTTTTTAATTATGAATATGAGACTTTCCCTTTCTTTATTTATTTGATTTTCACCTTGTCACTTAGCGTGCCAAATTTGGACTTTCTTTCACTCCATGTGCAATTATCTGCAAACTACAAGTCATTCCTAAAAATCAGGATTAAATAAATAACAAATGGTTAAACTCTAAACACCAAATAATCAAAATAATATAGTACTTTAACCCTTCAATTAATCATTTACTTGTTCGTGCTTGATAATGCTGAGATAAACTAGATAATTAAATGCATAATATATTTCAACCAATAGTATTTAAATAAATAAAAGACCTTTCATTCATTGACGTGCATTTTATTTGTTCTACGAGTAATGAAAAGTAGTTTTACTTGGAGGATGCATTTCGACATTTGCGTCCGCTGAAGCATAAACTATCATTTTAAAGATGGATGTAACTTCTAAGTGATGTTTCCTCCAAGAAAATTGTAAAGGGAAAAGTTTATACAGAACCGAGGCTCTAAACAATCGAATTAGAGCTCACCTCAAAAATTTTACTAGAAGAGGTTGTTTTGATACCCAAATATCCTCAAATTGATCATCTCGATATCAAGATGCATGTACATGAGAAAAAAAATAGATTTCAAGTTTTGAAAATAATGTATTTTGTAATACATTTTTGGACTATCAATTTTAAAGATTTTTATGTTTTCATAGATCTGTTGATCGACACTATTTTTGAAGCTTTAAACTTCATAAATAAAGATGAAAATATCTTTTAAGACTATCACAAAGCTTTTCAATATTAAAACTGCATTTCTCGACACTATTTGAAGGTAGGCTCTAATTTGATTGTTTAAAGCCTAGGCTCTATAGAAACCGCACCCAAATGTAAATCACTAGCCCAAATATTTTGTTCTAAAAAAAATAGTATTTTTACTTTTTTATTAATTTAGTTTACAAATTAATGATCTCTATGTTAGGGATTATATAAGGTTGCAACTTTAAAATGTAGAATTACAAATGCACCTCAAATATCCATCAGAAAAGATTGCTTTAATATTGAAAAGACCTCTAATTGATTATCTCGACATCGAGATGTATGAATACAAAAAAAAGAAAAAAAGATTTTGACTCGTAGAAATAGTGCATCTTACAATACATTATCTAGACTATCCATTTTCAAGATTTTTTAAATGTTTATAGATCTAATTGATTTTAACCATTTTTGGAGTTTAAAATTTTATAATTAAATATGAAAATATATTTTGAAATAATCCTAAGAAATTTTTTTACCAAAATTATATTTTATAATAAAATTTGGAGATACACCTTAATTGAATTATTTAAAGTTGCAACCTTATAGAAACTACACCCATTGCAAATTTCTTAAAAATCTTGGTCAAAATTGATTTAAAAAATAGACTATTAAGGGGCCACATTTTCCATGACGTCTGGGGACTCATAGAAACCTTGTCCTTTATTACTATATATTGAGCATGAGAAGTACGTGTTTAATGGGATGTCGCATTGTGTGCACAGCTTCTGGGGAAAAACACTCATGCTCCTACAGGAGCATATTGTCCTATTGCTGCCTCGGGAAAAACTCAAGCTAGAGACAAATTTTGGATCCCAAAATTTGCGGATGTAATCTTTAGAACCAAAGAAAAAAAGCAAAATAGTTCGCCCTCTCTACATGCCTAAAGAAATGATATCCCAAGATTCAATAAGAACTGCCCAATTTTTAGAGGGAAAGATTTGTATGTTCAAAAACTAAAAATTCCATTTTTTTTTTAAATAATAATCTAGTAATAGGATCCTAAAATTTTATATCAAAACAATCCTCCTAGGTAGCATTTTCGTCTGACGGGTTTTTGGTACAATACACGCCCGCAGGAGCATAGCAAGGCACCACATAGTATATTATCGTTCCACCACCCATCCTCGTCAACATACTGTAGAGATGAGCTGTTTTTTTTTTTTTTATCGTTGTTGACTTAAAAGCTGACCAGTCGAGCCATCTCCATCTTGATTAATTTGGATGAACGTGGATGGATGGTCGATAGGTGGACCATGTATTATTATTCATAGACATTCAAGACAAAGTATAATACTATTTTTGGTTCATCTTACATAATATATTTTCCATGATGGAATCCTGGAGTAGATACCTACCATTTCAAGTAAACCATTGTGGTGATTAGAACCTCAAAATTACAACAAAAAAAATGTCATTTTCCCCAAAAGTTAAAATTCTTAAAATTTCGGGACTAGGAATTACATTTAGAATACAAGGTCAATTATTTTCAAATATAAAGAGCATATAGCATCCTCCCAGGGGTGGATACTATACACTTACTCTCCGCGAAAGAGCTACTTAGTGGGGTTTTTTTGACAAAGTTTTTTAATCCACCAAAGAATAACTGATGTTTCTTTAATAAGAAAAAAAATTTGAGTTTTCAGAAGTTGTCCAAAAATTGGACACTTAATTCTATCTTGGTTGTAATTTTTTTGGGCACATAGAAAGTATGATTGTTCTTTTCCTTTTTATTTATTTGAGGTTAGTGACTTGGTTGAAAAGTTTCATCACCAAAATCTAGGGACCCAAAAATGCTCCTAAAATATGCAATAGAGGCAAAAGAAAAATATATCGTCTATATTTTTCTTAAGGAAAGGTATACAATGAGACAAACTTACCCTTAGTACAAGATGGTATCATTGGAAATAAAATGGAGTGGTTGTATTTATTCCACAGACCAAGTTCAAAGTTTAAAGGGAATTTTTTCGAATTTTGTAACACGTCCAAGCTATCAAATTTCACATGGGATGGTTATAAAAATAAGCGTGACCTCCTTGTACAATAGATATATAGTCTCATTATATAAAAAAAAATTAAAATATTATACAATGAGACAATTTACTTTTAGTACAAAAAAATTCCAATCAACCGGTAGCTATTAAATGTGAAATTGACCGACGGGATTGTGTTATTGATAACTTAAAGTATAAAAGAAATTTCTTGAGCTCTATAATCCATCCCATGTTGACGTATTTCACATTCGCAGCTAAGTGTGATTATGTCTTTGTACCGTGACTTAAGGATCTTGCCGTGTAAACTCCCATGCTCTTTTATCGATCCTTGTTTTTATATTTATGATATCAAAATATCCATAATAGTTGAACTATTTAATATCTTACCTATTTTGTAACTATTCATGATCATATATGCCGGTGTTTTGAAATTGAATTAAAAGACATGGGTAAATAATAATTGGACAGGGTTTCTATCAGTCATCCGACTCATATATGATAATAATTGGACAGGGTTTCTATCAGTCATCCGGCTCATATTACATACATGAGGGCTCCCTCTTAAACCTTCTTAGAAATGGATTTTTAACCTAAAATTTTAAGGCTTTATGATCTAAGTTAAGATTATCATAAACATAAAAAAGAAAATATCGATATTTGAAATGTGATTTTTTTGAAAAATTTCTATTTACATTTTCCATCTTAAAGATGGACTTCTAGTGAGTGCGTGGGCTCGTGCACCCGCTGACTCATGAAGGACTTTTCCATAATAAATAGTTAGGGAAGTTTTTTTAAAAAAAGGAAATATTTATGCAATGTAGTTAATATGTTTCTCCCCTTAAAATGGACCTCAATAATTTCTAAATATTTTCTTAGATTAATAGTTCATAAAGAAATTCAAAGATTTCCTTTTAAAATAGTGATACTTGTCATGATGTTGGACATTATTGCATTATGTTGAAGTTGCTAAATCGTCTTTTCTCACCTTTTTGGAAATATTTTAGAAAGGCATTCTGGATATTTCTGTATGTTCAGGGGCAGTTTGCTCATTTCTAAATACTTTTAACACCAACGTGTACAATATTTTCAATTTTTCATAGTAATTCAAAACTTCGAAATGTAATAATAATAATAATAAATAAGTAAATAAATAAGGAAAAATATACCCTCCTTTTCTATTAGTGTTTGTAATATGCGAACACAGCTCCGGGTATATAAAGAGTATACCTACAACCCTTATTCCTCATTCTGAAATAAGAGAGAGAGAGAGAGAGAGAGAGAAAACTCAGGAAAAAGAGTGAGAGGGAGTACACTGAAGATTGAAAGATGGAGAAAAAGGGTGCAAGTTTATTCTAGTGCAGCAAGAGAGAGAGAGTAAAGTGAAGATAGAAAGAAGGTGCAAGTTGATTCTTTGGGGAGAGAGAGAGAGTTATTAGGCTTGTTCAAACTTCAAACTGCAAAATTCTTGTTCAATAGAGAGAGAGAGTTATTAGGCTTGCTCAAACTGTGAAATTCTTGTTCAATAGAGAGAAAGAGTTATTAGGCTTGCTCAAACTGTGAAATTCTTGTTCAATATAGAGAGAGAGAGAGAGAGAGGATACCATGGACAAGGCATGGATGAGGGGTGTTTGGGAGATGGTAAAAGCAGCCCTGTCTCAAAAGCTGCTCACTAATCACCTCCCTTCTTCTTCATCTTCATCTCTCTCTACCATTATTCCTCATCGTCTCTCAGGCATCTCAGTCATCGTTACGGGTGCAACAAGCGGTATCGGTCTCGAAACCGCTCGGTAAAATTCATCCCACCAGTCGAAAAATCTCTCTTTTTCTGAAACTTTCAGTTAATTTTCATATACAGTAAAAAATCTAAATAATTTTCTTTTTATTGATAATTTTACAGACACCATTTTAAAGCTATAGTTTATTTACTTCACCATCTCAAGTTAATGCTATGCTCTATTCACTTGCCATTTACTTATTTATTATTATAATTTTTTTTAGGAAATTTATCAAACTAAATCTCATATTTGAACTATTCAACATCTTCCCCATATTTTTTAATCAAATTTTAAATACCCCGTCATTCTTTTGATCAAATTTCAGAAAGAAAGTTAATCAAACTATAACTAAAAACTGAAGTATTTAATATTTAACACTAGGTGTTATTTGATAGATTTTCAAAACCCATTTTGAAACTTCATTTGATGGGCTATTGGACATTTTATCAGAAGAAAGATAGAATTTCAGAAGTTATAATAAAACATATAGTTAAGATGTCAAATAGCTTAAATCAAAAAAATTTCCCTCTTCTCTAATGTTGAAAAAAAAAATTTATGATGTCGAAAACTTCAAAGAAAACATGTGTGGATTGTCTGTGGGTAAAATAATAAGTGGGGGGGTATGGTATCAATTGAGGGTCACGATTAAATGGTGGGCGATGTAAATGGTTGACAGGGAGCTGGCGATGGCAGGGGCTCACGTGGTGATGGCGTGTAGGAATACAGGCGCCGCGGAGGAGCTGGCAAACGCATGGAATCAGTCCATCAACGCCGCTCCACCTCCAACCCCTATGGTCGAGGTCAGCTACCCTTCCCTTATGCATTTCATTTCCATTTCCATTTTCATTTTCATTTTCATTTTAGAGAGAGAAAGAGAGGTGAATTGGAAATAGATAGATAGAGAAAGAGAGAGAGGTGAATTGGAAATGGGGAGAGAGAGATTCAAAACACAGAGACTAAACGTAGAGAGAGACGTGAATGGGAAATGGAGAGAGAGAGATGAATTGGACATAGAGAGAGAAAGATAGAGGTGAATTGGATGTAGAAAGAGAGAATTCAAAACAGAGATAGAGAGAGAGAGGTGAATTGGATATATACAGAGAGCTAGAGATTCAAAACATAGAGAGAGAGAGAGAGAGAGAGAGAGATAAAGTATTAAAGAGTTAGGAGATGTGTGGGGTCTTTAGGAGGAACATAGGATTCTTAAACCTTAAATGGGTGTCTGCCCACTAACTGTGGCAGAGAGGGAAGTATGTGCACTGCTCTTATGGAAGACAAAATTCAGCTTGGAAGGCTGAACCTAGAGAGAGAGAGAGAGACAGAGAGAGGAAAAGGATGATGACAGAGAGAGAGAGAGAGCAAAAGGAAGGCAAGAAGAGAGAGAAAGAGTAGTAATATGTGTGATGGACACAGGTGATGCACCTTGATCTTCTCTCTCTAACGTCGGTGCGTGAGTTCGGTGCGGAGTGGGAGAGGCGCGGTGCTCCTTTGCACGTCCTCATCAACAACGCCGGCGTCCTCCGCTCAGCTGGTAATTACTTTTTCGAACCTCCCTCTCCCTCTCCCTCTCCCTCTCCCTCTCAACTTTTTTTTCGTACAATGAAAACTACTACTCTCTCTCTCTCTCTTTAAACTCAAATTTTAAAGGAAAAAGTTCATATAAGGTTGTAACTTTAAAAATGTAAAAGTAAATATACACCCCAAAAATCTATCCGAAAATGTTGTTTTAAAATTGAAAAACACTTTAATTGATCATCTCGACATCAAGATGTGTGAATATAAAAAATATATATATATATATTTTTTTTTTTAATCCCAAAAATAGTGCATCGTGCATCGCATTATTTTGACCATCAATTTTCAAGATTTTCACATATACATAGATCTACTTGATTTAACCATTTTTGAAGTTTAAAATTTTATAATTGAATAGGAAAATAAATTTTCAGATAATTCTAAAAATGTTTTACACCAAAATTATATATTATGATAAAATTTGGAGGTGCGCTGGATTGTTTAAAGTTGCAACCTCAAAGAAACCGCATCCGATTTAAAATCTTGAACATTTCCCCATTTTCACATGTTCATTTATTTTTGCCGACATTGATCCAACTTGCACGGTACTCTTGCAGGATCATAGTATATCCTTAACCCTTCGAGCAAAAGAGAATCTTTTTTAATTTATAGTTTCAAGATCACTTCAGAATTACCATACCATTAATTTCAATAAAAAATTTAGTTTTGAGCTCTTAAATAAAAATATAATGGTCCAAAACTTGAATAGCATGTCCAATCTTAGGGCATTATGTATTTGAGGAGATGATTTCTTCTCTTCTTCTTTTTTTCGTTTTATTTTTTTTAAGGTTGATCCTTAAATTGAGAACGTTCAATATCCAGAATTTAGGATATTAAAACTGATTCTAAATAGAGTTTTAACCAAGTTGTAGAAAGATATATAATAATCTTGGGAAATATGAAAAAAAGGAGTTGAACCCCTTACAAAATCACAAAATAGGTCAAAAGATTACAAATTGATCTTGAGCGAATGCTTTTAAATATTTATATATCATATAAATCCCAAAAAAAACCTTAAAAATTTCTTAAATTACCCCTAGTTAGTAATGAAATGCGAGAATAGAATAATAAGGATATTTTCGTAATTCTACCCCCAATTGTCATTCAGGCAATGCCTTTTTAGTGGTAAATTTACCAAATTACCCCTATTGCTATGGCTTTTCAAAATTGAATAGATGCAATTTGGAAAACATTTAATTTTTTCTCTTTTTTTTTTGAAGACGTACATGATTTGATAATAGAATTTTGAAAAGCATACCCTCAATTGCAATTTATAATCTTCTTACCCCTTAGATGATATTGTAAACTAACGATGAATTATTTTTTCATGGATAGAGCCACAAATATTTTCAAGTGATGGATTGGAACAACATGTGCAAGTGAATCATGTGGGGCCTGCCCTTCTTACTCTTCTCCTTCTTCCCTCACTCCTCCGTGCCGGCTCATCTAGGGTTATCAATGTCAATTCTGTGGTAAAATGCCAATTTATTTCTTTTTTGAGTTATTGTTATTACTCTTTTTTAAGATATTAAGAGTTTATTTGGGTGCATCCAGTGGTTCAAAACCCACATAGGGATGCCAAATTGGTTATTGACTGGATTGATCCAGATCGGATCAACTTTTCGGTGTCGAAATTGGTCCTAAAAATTCAATTAATATTTTTATAATTTGATAATTGAAATTTGAAAAGTGTAATAAAAAAAAATGGGTAGGAATTAGACGATTTTGGAGATTGGATGGCTCTTTTTTCTAAAAGACTCGACTGGTTCTCTAACAGAATCCGATGAGTCTACCAAATAAGACTCGATTTCTAGTTCGAACATGATCGGTCCCCATCACCACTTCCTGATCCAAATTGGGGATTCCCAATCCGAATTAACATTTATTAAATCACGAGCATCTGATTCAATTACTCTATGCCAAATTCTCATCAGAATTCCCTAATGAATAGAACAAATTTTAGGGCTTTAAGCAATGGGGAAAAAATTTGTTTGGCTGCAGCTTTACAAAGCCTCCACTCATATCTACAACAAAAAAAAAAAAAAAATTACATATTTGGCATTGGAAAGCTACAAACTCAGACAATCATAGATATGAAAGATAATATGCCCTACAAATATACTATTTTGTATCACAGTTTTTGGATTCTTTATTTCAATTGTTCATATGTCTGCCGATTCTACTGCAGTTTTAGGTGCGTCAAATTTTATAATTAAAGATAAAAATAAATTTATAATCCATCACAAGGATTTATGAGTTGGAATCATACTTTCTGTTAGGGTTTTAAGGTGCAAGTTTACTAAATATCCTAAAGATGCTACCCTATGGAAACCAAACCTTAAATGAAATGAATAAGATTGTGTTATTATATGGAAATAGTTTTATATAAGGCTTAATTTTATTATAAAAATAAAGTGCACCTCAAAAAACCCACAAAAGTGCAGTTTTGGTTCCTAAAAAACCTTCAAATCAATTGGCTCCACCTCAACAATTATGAATTTGATGGAAATGTTTATACATGTCAAGATTTAAAAGTACTCTATTTTTTAAAACATTATCTAGGACTCTATTTTCAAGGTTAAGAGTTTACAAAACGTTACTTTTGCACTATATTTTGAGTTTCAAATTTCACAATAAATACAAAAAAATACATTTTCAGGCTCCTCCTGCGAACCTCAGCATTTTTATATTTTTTGGTTTTCTTTACAATGGAGAGGTGTGAAAATCAATATTAGAGCTATTTTTGAAAGCTTTATAGGGTGGTTGAAATTATTTTTGCGTTTTATATGATGTGGAATTTCTCTTATCAACATGTAGGCACATCATTGTGCAGTGGTGGACCCCGACAAATGGACGAGCAAGATTGAAAACCAGAAATATAGTAGCTTGAGAACCTATGGTGCTAGCAAACTTGCACATGTGAGTCGCAGGTGAATTCCATGCATACACTTAATAAGACCATTTATTTTTAATACACGGAGGCTATAATTATTATTGATCGTTAGATGTAAAATCGGGTGGTTGGAACATATTATTGACTAGGCTGAAGGTCGAAAATAAGATTTCTCAAATTTTGTAACATATTTCAATATGTAGGCACATTCATCAGTTAAGAATTATTGTGACCTCCTTATAGTAAAAGTAAAAGCACTCTTTTCTATTTCGAATTGGCACTTGTGAGAGCCTAGTCTTGAGTCTCCCAATTGGGACTGGGACAAAATACCCGTTAAAGAGATACTCTTTTTTTTTGTATTATATGTCATCAAATATTGTTTTAAAAGCAATTTGAGTATTTTAAATCTTGTTTTAAAATTTTGAATAACTATTATTTGAATTTGTTTTTTTAAGAAATTTGGACAAGCAGTTGGCCGATTTGACTCGGTACCAGTTGGTAACTGATTCGAACGAACCGTCCAACCATTCAAAAATTGGTTTGAACACACTCCTTAATAGAAGCATATTATTAGAGAAAATTCTGATAAATGACATAAGATTATAAGGAAAACTATGTCCATTCTTATAATATTAACCGAAGCCATTAACAGAACTTTTATAGGGAAATTTATCAAAATACTCATAACTGATAGAATTATTTAGCATGGGCCTATTTGTAACTATTCCAACTTAAAATCATGTGTTTTTTTACTGGTATTTTAAAATTAAACCAAAATATATGGGTATAAGTGTTAAATTATTCACCGCTTGCAAGTACTTTGATAATTTTCCCAGGTTTATATAAAAAAAAATTGCCTCATGCGGCGGGGATCGCATCTCTACCTTTGCATCTATTTGAAAGATAGATTCAAATAGGTGGTATCTTAGAAATAGCTTCAAATAAGTGGTTCATCTACAAATAATTGAAACTAACGGTCTAAATATGTTCTTAATAAAATTATTATTTTAAATTTTTTAAATTTATATATTTATTCATATTCATGACTTCCATGTAAGATATCACATGTCCTTAAAAATTAGATCCAAAACTCCATCTCAAAAATAGATTTTTAAGAGGTGACTCATTTCTATATGGACTCGTAGAAACTGTGTCCTTATATAAATTTAGAGGAAAAAAAATATTTTTTGAGCTCTTGAAATTGTAGATATTAACTCTGCACAAATGGACAGTCCAGAACCGAAGCCATTGAAAATTTTTGGCACGTGTGTCCACAATGTAGAAAAGGCTAGTATAGACTTCTTGATATGATAATGATAATAACAATGACATAAAATACTTCTAAATGTGAAGGGTCGGCTAAGTGCTAAATCTTCTTCTTCTTTTTTGGGTAATTCATTAGGGAAGACAGGTCCTACTCATTTTTTTAATAGATTAGAGAGTTATATTTTTTAAGGTGTTAATTAAGGGTGTTAGCGATAGGAATGGATACCACGATGTGGTAACTAGGTGTCGGCCAGCCCCTTTTCTCTATGTGCTAAATCCTATGTTTTATAAGTATTCAGTAGCTATCTTTGACAAAATGATGGAAATGACGTCTCCCAAATTTTTTATTCAACCCATGCATAAAGGCATCTGATATGATAAATCAATCAATCTCCTCTCTCTCTCTAGCAAGGTTCTAGATAATTAAATTAAGACATCTCAAAAATATATTAGAAAAGGTTATTTAGGTGCTCAAAAATCTTCAAATCGATCATTTTGATCTCAAGATGTATGGAGATGAGAAAAAATAGATTTCAAGTCTTAGAAATAGTCCATATCGTAATATATTTTTGGAATGTCAATTTTACAAACCTTGAAATAGATCAACTCGATCCACACTATTTTTGAAGCTTTAAATTGTATATTTAGATATGAAAATAAAGTTTCAAACCCCCACAAAGATTTTCAGTACCAAAAAACATATTCCAACACTATTTAAAAGTGCACTTTACTCTGATTGTTTGGGGGCCCAACCCTATAAAAAACACACGCACACTTATTTATTTCGGAAGATATCAGTTAAGGGGTCAAAACCCCATAAAAAGTTATTAAGAGGTCAAACCATCTCAATTGAGATTAAAGGGTTTACTTCAATTTTCATTTCACCTCCTCAATAAAAATTTTGGAAAAGTATAAATTACCATTATTCAAAATCGGAAAACATACACAATCAGGAGTATCCCAGTGGCTTGGCCCACCCTAAACAAGTAAAAACTCCTGCCACCTTAGGTGGTGGAATAAATTATTAAAATGCCCATATCTATTTAGAGCTATCATCCCTGAATAGGGTCCATATGGATATTTTTTATTTTAGGAACGTGTCTAAGTAAAATGAAAATTAAAAAATAAATCTTTTAGTGCTAATTGGAATGTTTTGATGTCCTTTGTATTTTCAAAAAATACAATTAAAGCTTTTGTGAACAGTTGCAGTCACATAGAGATTTAATTTCTTTGTAAAATTTGTTTGCAGCTCATGTTTTTGAGAACACTTGCCTCCAAGCTCATGGAGCAGAGACAAACTTCCATCCATTGCATTGCAGTACATCCAGGGATTGTCACCACGAACTTGGTATTTTTGCTCTCCTCTTCATTGCCCTGTCAGTATTGGTAGTTATAGTGCCCCGCGCTCCAGTGGGATCAAATTGTATGTTTGTTCCCTCAGGCAAATGACCTACTAATGCGGATTTTCTTTATTTTGGGATAGACTTCAAAATCACAATATGAGGAAGTTTCAAATAAAATAAAAAAAAATAGAAAGGATTTTGAGTTCTTGCACCTCAAGATTGAACTGACCCCTGGGCACCTCAAGTTTTCCTTTTGTTTTTGTTGGTGGTTAGGTTGACTTTGACATATATAAAAAATTTGGGTCCTAAAAATAGTTTTGGATAGCATTTTGTCTGAAGGAGCAATTGTACATTTTACTACCATGGGGGACATAATATTTTTAGGTTAACTTACACTTTTTGTTCTTCTTATACACATTTGGTTTGGGTTGAAAAAACTCCCTCATGGTTTAAGTGTGGGAATATTTGTACCAATTATTGTGAAAAAATGCTCGGGGGTTTATTGGTGTGAAAATATTTCTACACATAACCACATTAGAGAAATACATATGAAAATATTTCTCGGGAAATGTTTTCATGCGAAACGAACATGCCGTGATATGATTTATAAGAAGCAAACAAGTGATAATGATTGTTAAATAATATAGCAGCAACTTCTAAAAGTTGTCTTTTTTTCTCCTTTCTATCAGGTTCCAAGTTTTAGCAAGAAATCATTTTGGCAATTCAATCCATTTGAAGGTGATAATTTCTGGCCTACTTCCATGTATGTTCTGTTTTTATTTTCTCTTGGAAAATTGAATCGTGAATCCAAGGACTTGGCCGACTCCGCTCAGACTTGGCCTATGGCTGCAAGTTTGTTCAAAGTTATTAAACAAACTGCAGATTTTGTTAAAAAACCTTTAATCCATGATTTGGAAATACATTTTTATATGATTTTTATGTTTTTATGATGATTTTGGAACTCAGAACGTACTCTAATTTTTATTTTTTCTTTTGCTTACATTTTTAAATATTTCAAAGTATAAATCAAATCCTTCTTATATAATTTATTTTGGAATTCTATAGACTTTCCTTTATTTATATTGCTTACATTATTTTGTGTTGATTTTTAATGAATTTAAGTAACTATACTTTGTCCTCTTTGAAATTTGCGTATCTAGTATTGTAGAAGTCACTCGAAAATGACCTTTCAAACTACCATACAATAAAAAGGACAAAGTTTATATAAGGTTTGAGGTCCTAAAAAATCAAACTAACGTGTATCTAAAAAAATCACTAGAAGAAGTTGTTTCGATGTTGAGAAACTCTCAAATCCAATCATCACGGCCTTGATATAACATAGACGTTAAAAAAACAAATGAACTTCAAATCTTGAAAATAGTGTATCTTGTGATGCATTATCTAGACTGTTATTTTTTAAGATTTTCAAGTGTTTATAGATATACTTGATCTGCATTATTTTTTAAGCTTTAAATTTTATAATTAGATATAAAAATAAATTTTCATGGTGACATCAAGATTTTTAGTATAAACTGACATCTTTCGATACTCTTTGAAGGTACACCTAATTTTGATTATTTAGGACCTGAGCCTTATACAAACCACACCCTAAAAAAATTATAATTTTCTTATATCACGTTCTTCTCTCTCAATATTAGGAGCAAGAAGCGTCCTCTTTTGTGCCACCAATGCTGACATGGCAGAAAACCTAGTCAAAGGGTTTGCTTACTACTCCTGTGATTGCAAGCCTGCCAAGGTGTCACCCCTCGCAGCTGACGTGGCATCATGTGCACGCGTTTGGGAAAAGACTCTCCACCTATGTGGATTACACGTCGACTATGTAAGCCACGTCATCACAGCCTCCACTAAAATCGCCGATCCTCAATAATTCGGCATATTATTTGGAATCGCTCGACGGGACGTCCGTCATAAATCAGGCTTGGGCTCAAATGGTTAGCATGCATCTCAAGTTGACTCCAATCGGTCGAGTCCCTATAGTGAATCGGCTTGCTCTCGACAACTTGAGGCATTTTCTCGATTTAGGACCATTTTGAATCTCCAATCATTGGGTGTAAAAAAACTCGAACGATTTTGAGTTAGCTCTTGATTTTCCTCATCAGTGAAAATATCTTAAGTAGGGTGGACCCAATTAATCGCCGTTGTTGTATACTAAAACGCAAAGATGTAAACTGCCTGATAAGTCCATTTTATTACCTTCTTATAATTCAATGAGAAAATTTAGCTTTGGTGAAGCTAATCCTGATAAGGGAGTGAAATTTTGTGTTTTACATTTAATCTATCTTATATTCTTATAAAATTAAAAGATATTAGTCTCATGAGAGAATAAGTTGTAAAATCTCATATGGGATTAATTTGAGGACCTTAAATTTTGGAAATGTAACCTCTTCCATATTAACTTCAATTAGAAAAAAAAAAATCCTAATATTACCCTCTATGCACATTTAAGAAAAGCAAGGTCTCAAGATTGAATGGTACCTACCATTTAGAAGGTAAGATTTAAGTGTTAGGGAACATAAAATTATCCTCAACTCCCTCATTTTCAATTTACTTACCCAATAAAATTCAAAATTTTTGTTTTACAATAATTATCTAGTAATTCTTAGGATGTTCACAAAATTTTATAGCAAAAAAAATAACAATCTCTCAAGGAAGTCTTATGACTAAGGGAATAGATATACACTATGTTCCCACGGAAGCACATATAGGCGCTCAGCTAACCCCAATGAGAGGCCTTTGTGTTTTACGTTGAATTTAGTGGACGAGACGGCTGCCTTTTGTGATTCTTTGAATTTGTCTTTTCGGATGAAATCCTCATCTTATCATGAGAGAGAGAGCACTTTCATGAGAGAGAGAGAGAGAGAGAGAGAGAGAGAGAGTAGTTGTTTGTTTCGTTACTTTATACTACGTTCGTTTACGTTTTACTTACGTATAGTCGTGTAGTAACTTTACTTTTTTTAACGTTTTTTT